TTAGAACACTTTTTGTTTGTTTTACCTATGTCAAGAAGTGACACAAGTAGTTATATTGCGATACTGTTTGTAGGCACTTTTCTTTATTTAGATAAAAAAGGTAATAAAGACCGCACATTATAAATCGAACAAATCTATATACCTACCATGTAAGTATATAAAAATGTTAAGATGACTTGTATACCTATTTCATTATATTCAATTTAATCATTTTTTTTTAATTTTTAATTATGAGCACCAATTTCTAAAGTAAAACAATAATAATGTAAAATATTATCTATATATATAAAATATAATTGATTATTTATATTTTTTTTATATAAGTAGTATGTATTGTGTGCCTATAACTACTTGGGAAGTTGCTTACTTTAGATACTTAAGTATAGAGTTGGTACAGCATTTTGAGCAATTCGTGTACTAGAAGAACGGTAAAAATCATAAAATTGTAAAAATTTTATGTAATTTTAAATCATTGCTCTTAATATAATGTAGGAGTTATAACTTTAATTTCTTATATATTGTGAAATGTATTAAGAATTAGAATATATTTTAATTAAGGAATTAATTGTTGTTTTTTCATTTTTATTTGTTGAAAAAAAAAAAAACCTAATAAACCTTCAAAGTAAACTGAAATGACGGAGGTATACCAATTGTCCTTATATACCAATTTACCTTATAAATCAATTTTCCCTATATACCATTTTTATATATGCCAAATGTGCCATCAAAATATAACAAATATGCCATCACCGTCACCATCTCCATCATCTCCATCATCCCCATCACCCCCATCATCCCCATCATCCCAAACATCTCCATCATCTCCAGCATCTCCATCATCCTTATCACCCCCATCATCCCCATCACCCCATTATCTCCATCATCTCCATCATCCTCATCACACCCATCATCCTCATCAGACACATCATTCCCCTCATCATCAACCCCATCATCCCCATCACCCCAATCATCCACATCTCCTCCATCATCCCCATCATCCCCATCACCCCCGTCATCCCCATCATCTCCATCACCCCCATTACCCCCTTCATCCACATCTCCTCCATCATCCCCATCATCCACATCATCCCCATCGTCTCCATCATCCACATCACCCCCCTCATCCCCATCATCTCCATCACACCCATCATCCCCATCATCTTTATCATCTCCATCATCCACATCATCCACATCATCCCCATCACACGGTTTATCCCCATCACCCCCAACATCCACATCACCCCCATCATCCCCATCACCCCCATCATGCCCATCATACCCATACACCCCATCATCCTCATCATCTCCATCAGCTCGATCATCTCCATCATCTCCATCATCCACATCATCCACATCATCCCCATCGTCTTCATCATCCCCAACACACCCATCATCCCCATCACTCCGTCATCCCCATCATCTCCATCATCCCCATTACCCCCTTCATCCCCATCATCTCTATCATCTCCATCATCTCCATCACCTCCATCACCCCCATCATCCCCATCACCCCCATCAACCCCGTCATCTCCATCATCTCCTTCACCCCCTTCATCCCCATCACCCTCTTCATCCCCATCACCCCTATCATCCCTTATCAGTTTTTTTCGGGTTATTAATACTTAATAGTGACTTCCGGCAGAAGAGTAATTTTTACTGATTTAAACAATGTCATTCTTATATTACATAAAAAACAATAAACGACTTTTTTTTGGTTTGTAGTTATCCAGTGAAATTATAATCTCTGCATATTTAGAACACTTTTTGTTTGTTTTACCTATGTCAAGAAGTGACACAAGTAGTTATATTGCGATACTGTTTGTAGGCACTTTTCTTTATTTAGATAAAAAAGGTAATAAAGACCGCACATTATAAATCGAACAAATCTATATACCTACCATGTAAGTATATAAAAATGTTAAGATGACTTGTATACCTATTTCATTATATTCAATTTAATCATTTTTTTTTAATTTTTAATTATGAGCACCAATTTCTAAAGTAAAACAATAATAATGTAAAATATTATCTATATATATAAAATATAATTGATTATTTATATTTTTTTATATAAGTAGTATGTATTGTGTGCCTATAACTACTTGGGAAGTTGCTTACTTTAGATACTTAAGTATAGAGTTGGTACAGCATTTTGAGCAATTCGTGTACTAGAAGAACGGTAAAAATCATTAAATTGTAAAAATTTTATGTAATTTTAAATCATTGCTCTTAATATAATGTAGGAGTTATAACTTTAATTTCTTATATATTGTGAAATGTATTAAGAATTAGAATATATTTTAATTAAGGAATTAATTGTTGTTTTTTCATTTTTATTTGTTGAAAAAAAAAAACCTAATAAACCTTCAAAGTAAACTGAAATGACGGAGGTATACCAAATGTCCTTATATACCAATTTTCCTTATATACCAATTTTCCCTATATACCATTTTTTTATATGCCAAATGTGCCATCCAAATATAACAAATATGCCATTACCGTCACCATCTCCATCATCTCCATCATCCCCATCACCCCCATCATCCCCATCATCCCAATCATCTCCATCATCTCCATCATCCACATCACCCCCATCATCCCCATCACCCCATCATCTCCATCATCTCCATCATCCTCATCACACCCATCATCCTCATCAGACACATCATTCCCCTCATCATTAACCCCATCATCCCCATCACCCCAATCATCCACATCTCCTCCATCATCCACATCATCCACATCACCCCCGTCATCCCCATCATCGCCATCACCCCCATTACCCCCTTCATCCCCATCATCTCCATCATCCCCATCATCTCCATAATCTCCATCATCCACATCATCCCCCATCTCCCCATTCATGCCCATCATCACCATCATCTCCATCATCCCCATCACACCATTCATCCCCATAATCTCCATCATCTCATCACATCCATCATCCTCATCATCCACATCATTCCCCTCATCCCCATCATCATCATCTCCATCACCCCCATCATCCAAATCAACCCCATCACCCCAATCATCCACATCTTCTCCAACATCCACATCATCCCCCTCATCCCCATCATCTCCATCACACCCATCATCCCCATCATCTTTATCATCTTTATCATCTCCATCATCCACATCATCCACATCATCCCCATCATCTCCATCATCCCCATCATCTCCATCATCCCCATAATCCCCATCATCTCCATCATCCCCATCATCCACATCACCCCCATAACCCTCTTTATCACCATCAACCCCATCATCCCTATCTTTCCCATCACCCCCATCATATCCATCATCCCCATCATCCCCTTTATCCCCATCACCCCCATCATCCCCATCATCTCCATCATCCCTATCATCTCCATCAACTCCATCATCTCCATGAGCCCCTTCATCCCCATCACCCCCATCATCTCCATCATCTCCATCATCCCCATCATCCACATCACCCACATAACCCTCTTTATCCCCATCAACCCCATCATCCCCATACACCCCATCATCCTCATCATCTCCATCATCTCCATCATCCCCATCACACCCATCATCCCCATCACCCCCGTCATCCCCATCATCCCTATCATCCCCATCATCCCCATTCACCCCATCATCCTCATCATCTCCATCATCCCCATCATCCCCATAATCCCTATCACCCCCATCATCTCATTCATCTCCATCACCCCCTTCACCCCCATCACCCTCATCATCCCCATCAACCCCATCATCCCCATCATCCCCATCATCCCCATACACCCCATCATCCTCATCATCTCCATCATCTCCATCATCCCCATCACACCCATCATCCCCATCACCCCCGTCATCCCCATCATCCCCATCATCCCCATCATCCCCATTCACCCCATCATCCTCATCATCTCCATCATCCCCATCACACCCATCATCCCCATCACCCCCGTCATCCCCATCATCCCCATCACCCCTATCATCGCCATCATCTCCATCAACTCCATCATCCCTCTAATCCCCATCACCCCCATCATCTCCATCATCCCCATCACCCCCATCATCTTCATCATCTCCATCATTCACATCATCCACATCATCCCCATCGTCTCCATCATCCACATCAACCCCCTCATCCCCATCATCTCCATCACACCCATCATCCCCATCATCTTTATCATCTCCATCATCCACATCATCCACATCATCCCCATCATCTCCATCATCCCCATCACACCCATCATCGCCATCATTTCCATTACCCCCTTCATCCCCATTATCTCCATCATCTCCATCATCTCCATCACCCCCATCATCCCCCTCACCCCCATCATTCCCGTCATCTCCATCATCTCCATCAGCCCCTTCATCCCCATCAGCTCCATCATCTCCATCACACCCTTCATCCCCATCACCCCCATCATCCCCATCATCTCCATCAGCCCCTTCATCCCCATCACCCCCATCATCCCCATCATCCCCATCATCTCCATCATCTTCATCATTCTCTTAATCCCCATCACCCCCATCATCTCCATCATCCCCATCACCCCCATCATCCCCATCACCCCCTTCATCCACTTCATCCCCATCACCTCCATCATCTCCATCACTCCCTTCATCCCCATCACCCCTATCATCCCCATCATCCCCATCAACCCCATCTGTCAAAAAAAAGAGAAATGTCTTCGTTTTTTTTTTAGATTATTTTAAGAGTGAATGTCTTGTTCATAGTTCTGTGCCTCTCCCCTTATTACATGTTTGAAAAGATATACGGCGGAAGGAACGTTTCAAGACCTTCATAAAAATCATAAAAAATATCAACTTTACACATTTGTTCAAATTATGTGTGCTACAATATTCGTTTGAGTCAGATGGAAATATTTTTATGAGTGTGTGAGGGCAACAGAAAGTAAGAATATAACCTTAACAGTTTTATTGTGAAAATATGACAACACCCGATCTTAATGTTAACGTTAGTAGAGACAAAGACATCCTGCTCCCTCAGCACCATTATGAATAAATAAACTGTTTGATTGATTCTAGAATGAATTATTTTGTGCCATGCATAAAGTTCAATTCACATATGTCTTTATTTTAGTGTGAGCATATTAAAATAGTAAAATTCTATCTTTTAAGAAATATTAGATTTCTCAGAACACTAATTTTTCTTGTAAATCCAGAGTCATAAAAGCTGAAGGTATAAAAGCTGAAAAAAATTGATTCATTACTGGGAAAACCATAAAAACAGCCCTTTTCTATTTCCCATACAAACGTTTTTTTTTACATTATATTTGACAACTAATATGACAATCATTCTGTCGAACTTCAAAACACGGTGATTTATGGCTTACAAGTAAACTCCAAAAATATAAATAAAAAAACGTAATAGATATTTCTTGATTATAGGGCGATACGAAGTTCGCCAGGTCTTCTAGTATTTAATAAATATTGATTAATTAGTTTACATTCCGCGAAATGTTGCGTTTAAGGAACGTTGGAATTACTGAACTTGAATTTCACTAGCAACTCTTTTATCGTAATAGTATTATGTATTACTGTGAGTTATGTATTTTAAAACAGTCAACATGAAGATGAACTTAAAATTTTTTACTCATATAAATTTTTGTACAACTTCTATATTGTCGACGTTTATTTACATGCTGAAAAAAAGAGCGTGGGAATTGAAACGTTGACGCGGGCTTTTTAAAAGGGCAATGTCCATTTTTGGCCTAGCGTGAACAAGCTTCTATCAAAAAACAAGTTTATGAAAAAAAAAAATATTTTTTTAGCTAGCCATTCTATTGTTGTTGGAGTGTACATTTGTATTTTATTGAAAAAATATTTTTAAAGTATCTTCATTGATTTGCTTTATTGATCCACGTTCTGTGTTACCTGCAAGATCTCGCAGTACTTAATACAACTATAAGTATTTAATAAAAAAAATATAATATTTGTTTTTAATTAGTTTTCGTCATTTAAAACGTTTTATAAACTGAAATATGAAGAATGTTAAACATAATCATATTTGTTATCGATCGATTTTTTAATGATGTTTTTCTATTGCAACACTAATAAAACGAAAAAATACATATTGACATTGATATGTCACAGACTGATTGTTTACATTCGCTTTGTTTACCTATATACATTGAGAGTGTTGATTTATTATGGATTTTCTTTCAACGATTGTTTATTCATTATGGGCTCCGACCTATCTTTTTCCAATGACCCCTGCACATCTACGGACCCCGAATTTCGCTCAAACGATGACCCTGGCTTTTGTATTATGGACTCTGATCAAGGCATAAACGATGAACAACACTCACGTAATGTGGACCCCGAAACTAGCTCCATCGCTAACCACGGCTTTAATATGGACATTGAACAAAACCAAAGCGTGTCTCATGATAGTCGGCACACAGAAGAAATGACTTCTTACCAATCCGTATCTCTGAGATGCATAAACTGTGGAAGTGATTTGATAGAGAGAAGGCGACATAGTCTAGATCTTAATTAGGTTCAGTCTATTATAAGACAGTGGATAGCTCCTCGACGAGTAAGTGTCAATTTAATTAATTATTTAAATTACTCGTTTTTTAATAGATATGTATTGTATATGCTATTCCTATAATGCAAAATGAGGTTTTATTATTTTATATAATTATAATCCATAAGGATTAAGTATATAAATACTGTTGTATTATAATAAATGAAAAGATGTTTACTCCTAACACATTAGCTGACTTTGTTATCGAAAATAATTTAAATAGAAGGCGGGCAGATTTTCAACCTATAAATGTATTAACATGTATAGTTTCATATTTCCAAGAATAGAATATAATGATCTTATATTAATTGCATGTGGAACATACCAACTAAAACAAGCTTGTTTGTATTACGGGCAGCACATAAGAGGCGAAGGTTCCTATACTTTAGAAAAATGTAGAAATATAGCCAGCGACCTATTAGTTGACTACCTGATTCCTTTGGCCAACTGCAGATTATTGCATGGAAAAATACAAAGCAGGCATGTAAGTCAAAAAATATATTTTATATATACAGGGTGACTGGTGAATTACTATTGATATTTGAGGATGTGATATTTGACGATCATATATGACAAAATAAAAATTAATATAACATAAATATCAATAAACTTCTAAGTAAAGTCAACCAAAAGTTATGTAAATAATTACGCATCGTATGAACACCCTACAGATTAGGTATACACACACACACACACACACACACGTGCGGCGGCGTGTTGTTGTATCAGCACGCCGCCGCACGCGTCCACACTTGGAACACTTGGAACGTGTACACACTTTATTTATTTATACGGAAATTTGGTCAAAAATTAAGTAGCTATTTTTTTTACATAATTCGAATGAGAATCATGTACCGAGTATGCTCTTTAAATATTGATAGTAATTCACCAGTCACCCTGTATATATTATATGATAATAATCACAATGGTAAGGAAGCCATAAAAGAATATTATTGTAATTGTATGGTTGGTCTAAGGACAGTGGGTTGCTGCGCTCATATAATGACTATTTTATGGTTTTTAAGTTGGGCAAGGTATCAGGAACACATTTCACCACCTGTCCAATTTCTTGAACACATATTAATAACATATGTCTCAGAATAAAAATAAATCATAAAAAATGTTGTTTTATTTTGCTTTAACCTGTTTTTCCTCACATGACAAAAATCTCTTTTTAAACATTTTGATACAAAATTAAGTTCATATTCTCATTATTACTAGTTAGTGCTTTTAAACTAATTACAAAAAATATGATAAAATGGCTGTTCACGTCAGGCCAAAGTCCCCATACTAAGTGGACAATCTTCTTTTAATTATTTTAAATAGTTTTATACTATAATTTGCAAAGTTTTGTAAAAATTCACCGCGATGCTCCATATGCACAGAGGGGTATTCTTTCAAAGAATGCAAGGTTAACATTGAAAAAGCTTAACATTAATTGTAATGGCAATCACATTGCCATCTCTAGCCAGTGCCCTATAAGGCAAAAGAAAATCGCAAACAGTAAACCCAAATCATATGCTGACACGTTAAAAGATTCATTAAATTTTCCCTCCCTTAATAAAAAATTAAATACCCAAGAAGAATATAATAGTATTGCGTGTATTATAAGATACTAAAATACACGCAATACTATCAAATTCTGAAACTATGACTATTAACAGAATCTATAGTAAAAGTTATAACTTTAAATAAAACTCAAAATATAAGTATTAGTTCACATTTTATTAGCTCAGCTATTAAAGAAACCGTCCAAGACAAAAATAGCAAATCGTCACATTCTACCACTAAATCTTAAATATTGTACAGTGGAATGCTCAAAGTCTGTTAAGTAACAGACTTGAGTTTCAAAATTTTGTAAACCAAAATAATATACAGGTAGCTCTTATTTCAGAAACTTGGATCAAGCCTAGCATTCAATTTAATTTATGTGGTTATACCATGATTAGTAATGACTGCGGTAATGATCATAATGGCGTAGCAATATTAATTAAAAATGGTATACATTTCTCTAAACTAGATACTTTTTATGATGATTCGTTACAAAATGTAGTAATTGTTATTAAACTGAAACATAAATACATTTATTTGGTTAGTTTTTACAGTCCTGGTAACAGTTTTCCTGCTTGTGAAAAGGCGAAGTTCGATAGTTTATTGTACAGTATTCCAAAACCCTTGATAATTGCAGGTGATTTTAACGCCCATCACACTTTTTCGGGTTGCAGTCGCATAGATTCTCGGGGCAGAGCTATTATGGATTCCATGGATGACAATAACTTAATACTTTTAAATAATGGTCAACCAACAACTATAGGTTCTCTTATTTGGAAACCTAACAGTCTAGATTTAACTATGGAGTCTTCTTCTTTATTTCTTTCTTGTGACTGGCAAGTTCATCAGGACCCTTTAGGCAGTTATCATCCGCCAACTATCACAAAATTTACTCTCGTAAGAGATCAACATGAGCCCTCTATTTCCTTGAACAACATTCCTTTTCACAGCAATCTGAAATTAGTAAATTGGGATAGTTATGACCAAACTGTTAATAAAATGTTAATGAACTTTAAAGTTGACAATAGTGATTTCCATGACTCATATAGAAAGTTTTGTTCAATTATTCTATTGGCAATCAAATTCTCCGGACCCAGCTTAAACCATAACATAACTGATAGTAATAATAACCGTCCTATAAAAAGGTGTCAAGTACCTTGGTGGAATGATAAATGTTCAAAAGTAGGCGAAGACTGCAAGAACGCCTACATTAATTTCAAAACTAGTCTTAATAGTAAAAATTACATTAATTTCAAACGCGCACAAGAAGTTAAAAAGCTTTCCGAGTTCTAACTTATTTTCTGACCTCAATTGGGTTCAAACATTTTTATATAAATACACACCGGATACTGTTCCACAACAGATAAGTATAGATAATGTTCTTGGAGTAAATAGTGATAATTCATACATAATGGGTTGTTTTACTATGCAAGAGTTTAGCTTTTAACCTGCTTTAGCCTCAAGAAAAGATTCTTCATGTGGCCTGGATTGGCTTTCCTACAGAATGTTTAAACTTTTAAATGTTCAATCTCTATCTATTTTTTTAAGTTTATTAAATAGTTTATGGACG